AGGAGATTTAGGACATAAGCATACACACATCTTGATATACAAAAGCTCCAACTTTGATGATTTGTAATGGGTGGGGTTTTTGATTACACCTCCGTTTTGATTATGCCTCTGAACTGAGACGTCAGGAGAACATTTTCTTTCCCCCTTGCCCATTCACAATTAGATAGATTTACTAATTGCATCACCCTGACAAGGAGAAGGCAGCAAAAGCAGAAAGGCTGTTTTCTTCACCAGCATGTGCCCAAAGACCACGCTCATGATGGGCATACATACATAAGACTCAGCCTGGATCATGCCATCTTATCACGAGCAACCAGATCAAGCTTCGGGCAAAAGCCAACCTAGAGGCACTGCAGTAACTTCTTCTGCCCCCTTTTCCAAACAGAGAATTCATTTCACTAAGGGGAAGAAAGAAAGCACCACCCAAACTCGGCCCACGACCATTCATGGCTTGGATTTGTGTTTCAAAGAGACCTGGCTCGTATCTGAGACTGATCAGCTGTGACGCTTGAGTCAGAGCAGCTGACAGACGTGTTTGCAGCAGTGAGGTCCCTCTATTAGCGCTGAGCAGATTCCTCTTCTCCCTGGTGCTGGCATTTGGTGCGACTCACTGAGCCCCTCAGCAAATAGTGCCAAAATTCCTCCCCGTGCAAACCCGAATAAACCCCGGCAAGTTCTGCTTCCACAGACTCAGGAAGATTTGTGCTCCTCCGCACCTGATTTCGAAGTTACTTAAGGAGCTAATCGGCATCATTCAACTTCATTGAGATGTGCGCCACGCAGGGTGAAGCGGCAGAGCCTCAGTGCTGGGTGAGCAGCTCTGGCTTGTCGAGCCCCTCGGCTGCCCGTGCAACCCATTTCCTCAGGCATGGGTCTGGGGTTGCAAGGGGAAGAAAGAGACATGTGACAGGACCACAGCTGCCTACAGCCCTCAGAGCGTCCTGTGCCAATGCCAACTCAGGAATTAGCGCAAAGCTTTCTGACGGGTGATACAGGAGCAGGAGCTGAGCCCAAACATCTGTGCTACAAAGCCCATTTCATATTGGGCCAGGGAGTTTTCAGCTGACCACGGCTCCCAGCGAGTGCCTACAATTGCACATTCAGCAGAAGCTGACTCTCAGGAAAAGACAATATTATGAAAAATCAGGTTCATGTCCTTCTGCAGCTGGATATGCTAGCTTTAACACTCCCATACATTCCCCTCGGGGTCCCAAAAATTCCCCACAGGCAAGTGAACGAGCCTGCTTTCACAGGGACAGCAAGATGCAGCTAGGCAAATAAACCCCTCTTACTGAGGCTTTGTAGCCACTCATTCTTGCTATTTCTACCCTCATCCTTCCTCCTGTCCATATTATCCGCACAATTTTTTCCTGGGATGTTAGCTCTTCAAGACAGGAGCTATCTCCACAGCCCTTGCCATGCAGAAGCACACAAGGAATATCTAAAAATTGGGCAGGGTAGGGGGGTCCTGTGTATAAATGCTGCTCCTTGTGTTCAAACTCTCTTAGCAGAATTCCTCATCATTTTCAAATGGCTACGCTGTGTTTTGCAAGTCTCTGGAAGGTGTTTATAGATTGTATCCTCCAACCTATTTAACACCTCCAGCTGCTACAAAGAGACAGTTTAGCCACCAAGAAATAAACCCAGACCCCAAGAACAGATAAGAACAGACAAAAGGGAGGTTGCAGAAATCCTCTATCTTCCCACAGAAAGTTTAATTCATTGGGAAAGAGGGAGGAAAAAAGACAAAATTATTTTCTGGATGAATTTAAGACACAGAGAAATGATTCTTCTTCAGTCACCTCCTTTGTCCCCACGTTCCCATCGCACAGACGAGAAAGGTTTGCTACCCCCAAAACTAGTCCTCTTAACGAAAAAGTAAGAAAAAACCCACACATGTTAGAAAACAAGCAGCTGTCTCCATCTCCCATCTTCAGTACCCCCATGATGCTGAGAAACCACTAAAAGATATCTCGAGCACACAGGATGCACATTCACCAGGTGTTACTGCGGTTTTAGTACCATCATGTGCCACATCTCCTGCAGCCACCCAAACCAACTGCTTTGCTTTTTCACTTACCCAACTATCTGATAACAATACGTACTGCGGCACAAGGGCTGTACCTGAACTTGCAATTAACACTCTCCTGCTCCTACAAATCCAACTTGTAAAAGGCAAATCAGTTGCCAGTAAAATAAAAAAATTAAAAAATAAAAACCCCAAAAAATTAAAAAAAGAGGAAGACAAGAGAAGATGAGACCACTCTAACAATAGAACATTTAGGAAAATTTGAAATCCTCCTTATACACCCTCTCCCCTCCAAAAGCTGCACTGAAATTACACTACAGTTTTCCTCTTTTAAGGCTTATTAGACACATTGTGTCTGACTACAGATTTGTACTTTTAATTTTACAGAGCAAGAATGTAAAGCGTTTGCCTTTTTTTTAAAAAAGGCATTTTTTTTCCTACATACGTTGGTGAAAGTAACTTTTTTCCCATTCCAAGAAAGCTTTGCTCTCTCTGTGCTGGCGTAGCGAGCTGAGGCCACCTCCGTCAGAGATGGTCCCCATCCTGGGTCTGGCCGCCTTTCCCCAGGGGTGCATCCCCTGGGCAGTTTGCAGGCAGACGAGTCCTTCCAAGGGTTTGTGCCCAGCGGAAAAAAGATTCAGTGCCCCAGGGCGGCTTTTTAATCCTGCCTAACACCTCCAGGCAACAGATGCATCAACAAGAAGCGGCTTTGTCATGCAAATGGCAGGGCGCAGGTACACACTGCAGGGCTGCTCCACGCACAAATGGCTGGGGACTAACACCCCAGGGGAGACCTCCACCTCCAGAGCTTGCTGATCTCGGCTGCTCCTTGCCCCCCTGCCCCAGCACATCCCCCCAAAAAGGGGAGCAAGAGCAAACCTGCGGGGAGGCGGTTGGGACCCCGCAAAGGTGAACAGGCAGCAGTGCGCGGCGCTGGAGCTGTGGTTAGCCATGAAGCGAGCAAGTGTGTCATCTCCTGGATGCAGCGTTTTGATCTCGCGCACATTAAAACCCAGCTGTCAGCTAGGAGACCAACAAAGATTATAGTTCAATTAAACAAAAAAATTATTTAATAACTCAAGCGTGTAGCCTTGTGGTTAAACTGAAAGAACTCCAGGCTTATGTCAACACTGCAGCCCTGCAACAGCACTATTTTACTGAAAAAGTGGTGCTGCTCTAACATGCAAGAGCAACAGTGAACTAAATTAGCCCCTCAGATGTTCAGCCTGCAGCTTTACAATCAGAAAGCAGATGTGTTTCCCCCCTCCTCCCCTCCAACGTACCCATGTAAGACGGTTCCTCAAGTACCTGAGCAGACAGCCTCCGCAAGAAGCTGATATTCTGGGGGCACTGATGCCAGACCAGTAAAGAGCGTCAGCCCCACAGCACGCATACACGTAGAAAATCCTCAGTGAATAATTAAACCCGATTTTGTTGTTCAAAGCCTTGCACCAGCACTAGGGACTTTCTTAGGAAGGTAACGTGGGAAAAGAGGGGGTAAAAAAAGGTCTGAAGTTTCCCAGTCCTCAAAGGGGCAGGTTTGAGTGTCGGTGCCTTCTCGAGAAGCTGCATCCTTTTCCCCACCACACATCCAAACTGAAGTTTTCTGTAGAGCTGCATTTACAACAACAAATATCAACAGACCGTGGTCATCATGCTTCACCCTAAATGGCTGCAGGCCTCTGAACTGTAATTTACACACAAACAAGGTCCTTTTTAAAAACAGAGCTATAGAAAGCAATATATTGCATGAGTTTTTGCGTCTTTCAAACACAAATGGCGACATACAAAAAGGGCAGATCCGTATGTTTCCCCAGTGTCAAACCGCTCTGTCATTCCGAATCCGGACATCCACTAATTTAACATGCTTTGCTACTGTCAAATTACCAGTACGGATTAGGCCCCCTCTTTTTTGTTTTTCAAGTCAAAAGCCACAACCCTGGAGAAAAATCAAGAACGTCGGAGAGCAAAATAATGCCAGTTGTTTGACAGAGACCGCCAAGTAAAAATCTAAGAGCCAGTAAGACGGAAAACTGCTTTATCACAGGGAAATAACAGCATCCAACTTCTCATATCACAGGACACACAACTGCAGTGGCATTTTTTCAGCAGGATGCCTACAAGAAAATTTGTTTCCTGCTCCACTCCAGTTCTACTAATATAATTTCCACAGCTCATTTTAACATTGTCTCCCAATTGCTCTATACATATACCAAGAGGTTTATAAAAATAAATGGGAATTGACTATCCAAAATTAAAAGTATATTGAAATCCATCAAATGTGCATCTACACCAATGGAAACTGAGAGACCAACCTGGAAGAATCAGTGCCCGCCACAACGTAAAGGAAACCTGTAACTATTGCATCACAGTTGATATTAATTCCTAAACGACCATTTCACAACTTGTGTCTGAAGATACAGAGTATGTTTCAAAGCAATACTGCCAGACACATAAAGCCTTCACGCAGAGCAACTGATGGCAGAAATAAATATCAATCAGCAAAGAGCAATGCCATATATGAAGGCAAAAAAAAAAAGAATCAGATCTTTTCATCTTACAGACAAGCAACTTTAGCAGCTCTGCTTCCAGCCCTCGATTTTCCTCAAGAAACGAAGAGTTAAACCCAGAAAATTCACATCTGTCCCAGTCACTACAAAGACGGCATTTACATCATTCCGCCATACATTATCCTGCAGTCGTAAACCAGGGCTCCCCCCCCCTCCCAAAGCTCCCTGCCCTGTTCAAAGGACGTCAGACACCACAGACGTTAATCTCGGCTTTTCCACCGCAATCGCGACCAACACCTCTAAGAGCTCTCAAACTCCACTGGACAGAGGCTCCGAACAGCAGAAGCGCAACCTTCACCGTAACTGAAGCTACCCAAAAAGCCCCGGCGTGAGCACGCACTGCAGACCGAACAGGAGGAAACCCAGCTCGCCAAAACCGGTCTTCGGAAGAGATAACTCACTGTTCTGGGGATGGGTGGCGACAGAGATCCATTAGGCATGTATGGGTCGTTATTCATATTTGGCATCATGATATACCCAGAATAACCAGAGTATGATGGTCCCTTGCTGTATAAGCCACTGTCTGGATGCTTTCCTATGGAAGAGGAAACAATGATTACATTATTCCCCACATACGCATTTCTTGTAAGTTAGAGCACTTAAACAGGTACTGTGCATTCATAGAAATGTTCTGCATGCAAACGTTTCCTTACTCATGAAAATTACTTCTGACAGAAAGTGGTCCGCAGCAATTTGTAATAACATTTTTTTAAGAAGAGTTAATTCTTAAAGGAGCAAGTACTCTCAGTGAGGAGTTTATGCTTAAAATACAGAATAGCCTCTGAGTAACCAATTTATTTTGCTAGTCCCTGTTCAAATGAAGGCAGAAACATCAGCAATGACATCACATTTCTCAAGTAGCAGTTTTCCCCCATTTTATACATCCCTCTAGGATTTGTGGATTCAGAAGTATTGCCAGCATGGGTTTCCAACATCATTGTTAGGAAAGGGAGGAACAGGGCAGTGATAACTGCCCAACATCATTTCCTTCTCTCGCTGAGCCACTGTGCGCAGCAAACAATTCATTCTGGCCACGCTCACCGGGAACAATTAGAGGGCAGGGGCTGGCTTGGAAGGAGACCCTAACGATTTGGAGGGGGGGCTGTTGAACACACATGGCACTACAGTCAAGAGGGAAGCCAAGTGAGGGAGGCTATTTTGTAGGAAAATAAAGAATTTGGGTCCGGGTCCTGAAAAGGGGGGTGAACGGGTCTCCCACCTATATGACCGTTGACAATGATACTACTCGAAGGTGAGGTTTTAAGAGGATGCAAGGCTGATAAGAAAACTATACAGAGATGACCTCCTCCCCCTCACTGCCAAAATGCTACGAGCATGGACATTATTGCTTTTAGGCTGTTTAATGACCAATTTGGAGAAAGATCGCCACAGTGTCCCGGAAAGCACCAGGACTGAGCTGTGTCTGTCTTTATATGGAATTTATGATCTGGTTTAGTTCGTGATGATAAGCATTTCATTTTAAACATTATCTCCCATCCTTCACAGCACACATTCTTTGTACACGTGTCCAGCTTCCTAAGTGATATTCAACGAACTCTGCTATTTCCTCTGTCCTCCTCAATCAAAATTAACCAGCTGGTACATTAAAAAAAGCAAGAGGTCTGTTCATGCTCAGATTTGGAAGAGGAGATTTAAGCGACAGACTTTGGCTATGGGGGAAAAAGCACAGAGTTTCTGAACACATACAACTCGGCTGCACTGTATGAGTGAAGAGATAGATGTGTTTAAGCTGATATCCTAAAAATAGTTATTTCTTCAGCGAAGATCCATTTGGCCTACTTATCAGTTTCTAAACAACTGAAATACCATTTGGTCACTCAAGATAAACGTGCTGCACATTCATCTCCTTTTTAAATGCGCTTTGAAAGCACCCTGGCATCCCCCTTCCCCAAAAGGTACTAAATTTATGTTTCCCAAAAGAAAGCAAGCTCCAGTTTGAGGACCGTGCGGAGGCTCACAGGGGGACTAAGAGGGACAATATTGCAAGACAGGACCGCGCGCTTCTCACCTTCCTCAGCGTGCTCTCTGCCTTTATCATGGTAGGAATCCTGCGCTTGAGTCTGCCTGGAAACCTGACCGCAGGGAATCCACCACCAGAAAAGAAGAAGAAAAAGAAGGAAAGTCATTGTATGGATGCTCATTTATTGATCACAGTGCTACAGCTTCTTGTAGAAAGAAAAAAGTTAGGGCAAGAGATAAGCATCTTTCTTTTCCCTCTTCAGTCGCTTGGAAGGCAACTGTACCAGAAACGTTTGTGTAAATCATCGTTTTATGACAATGTTAATAAATATGAGGCTTTGTGAAGCATTTCTGGCAGAAGTGTCCTACATTTGACGAAAGGGGCTTATTTCTGGAAAATATTTTGAGCTTCAGTGGTCAAAACACTCTTGGTAAAAAGATACCAAAAATAATAATGAAAATCAGGTTGCCCTCATTACCAGATCTTTAGGAAAAAAAAGAAAAAACAACCAAAAAAAGGAAAGAAAAGAAAAAAGAAAAAAAAAAAGCAGGTTCCCCGCTCGCCCTGAAGCTATTTTAGCGTCGGGAATTTCTTCCCAAACAGTTTTATGCAAATCCCTTAAAGAGTTTACGGCTAATGCTCCGACTCCGCTGATTTTACCGAGGAAATTTCATGGCTGCTTTTATGCAAATCCTTAAAGAGTTTACGGCTAATGCTCCGACTCCGCTGATTTTACCGAGGAAATTTCATGGCTGCTTGAGGTCTAACACCACCTCACCATCGTCGGGGGACTCGCGGGAACTTTCTCGTCCCGGGCCGAAGCACGGAGGGGGCCGCCCCCCCCCAGCCCATCCCCAGGCGCGGAGCCCGCC